TGGCTTAATCTCCAAGTAATCTAATCCTAGGCCCAATAGGCCTAGGGTTAATTTATGACTCGTCAAGTGCCCCTAGCAAGCCATATTCTCGAGACTTGATGAGAGGAATATGGGTTGCTACGAGTGTTGATGTTTCCTCAAGTTTCGTAGTGTTGCCCCAGTTCTCGAACTCTTTCGTTCTCGGGTGTCACCTATATAAGATAAAGAGAGATAGAATGCCTCGAGGAGGTCTTTGTGTTAGAAAGTTCCTTGGTTGCGTGGTGGACCGCGAGTATCCTTGTTTGCCCAGTGGACCGCGAGTGTCCTTGTTTGCGCTGTGGACCGTGAGTATCCTTGTTTGCACGGTGGACCGTGAGTGTTTGGATCATTGAGATGCAAGATTATATAATAATGACATGTAGTGTAAGATGCTCGTGAAGAATATCAGTCTAGCAGAGGATGTTAGGATGATCCCTCAAGTTCCTTGCCCGTAGGGTATATCCCTATTTGTGCCCCCGAGTACGTTTTCCTCATTGAAGAGTGATAGGGTTTTACCGCGAGAGGGTTAATAATTTGAAGAACTCCTTTGATCGTGCTCAAAAAGATATTTTTCATATGACATGAATAATATGCTTATGGCAAGAATTATGATGTCAATGATATACGAATTTATGTTCAAGAAGCATATAATAATGACAAGGTTTGATATGTACCTCAATCTTGAGATAAATTGATTATTCGAGAAGGTGTTATCTCGATTCCGAGAAGGTAGTAGTTGAGTAGATAAAAGTCGAGATACATCTTCTCGAACACTTCGAGTAGTAGTATGGTGCTCAAGGGATGCATGCCCTTTTGAGGAGATGTATCTCTCAAAACTTCAATATCAGAGATTGCCCCTTGCTTCAAAGTTAAGTGAACTAATTGAATATTCTGCCCTTTTCAACTGATTTTGAACTCTAGGGATTGTTCTGCAAAATTAGAAACTTTAAGGGTCAAAATTAACAAAGTTTAAAAATTGAGAGACCAATCTGCAATTTTTTTAGATTGCAGAATTTCTTCTCGATCAGTTCAGCTCCTTGAATTACTAGCACAGTTGAATTCTTCTTTGGGCTGCCTATTGGCTGGTACTAATCAACTGGCTGATTCTCAGGCAAAGCAAGAACCAAATCGACGCCAAATAACAAAGTCTTTCAAGGGTGGAAAGATTGACGCTATAATAATCTACGAATACCAAAAAATTCCGTACTCCGCAAAGAAATTTATTTGGTTGTGAGGACCAAACAAATCGGTCCCACTGGGCGTGCCACTTGACGAAGACCTAGGCAGTGGCGAACGGTCTAAAACCTGCAAGACAGAGCCTCGGGTGTCTCCCGATGGTAGACTCTCTGATGCTTAAGTCAATAAGGGAATAGAGATAATAGAGAGTGAGAGGGATGTGTATCGTGTGTGAAGGTGTTGAAGATAGGTAGAAGATAGGTAGAAGATATGAATTATGAGAGAGGCACCACCTCTTTATATAGAGGTGGTGTTACTTATTTCCCGAAACCCTAGCGGAATAGGTTTAGGCGGTGGCTTAATCTCCAAGTAATCTAATCCTAGACCCAATAGGCCTAGGGTTAATTTATGGCTCGTCAAGGACCATCTACCACAATTATTGAATGTCCATTTGATGAGTGGTAGAAAAATCGGTTCCAATGATAAAAATTCTCGTAAATGACAAGGTTTAAATTTATAAAGATGCCAAATACGAGTGATTATAATTTATAAGAATTTTGAGCTGGAATAGTTTCCCACTACGGTGAATTAAATTCCAGAAAAAATATATGAATACTTGGGAAACTTAATGATTGGGAGATCTCATTACCAAAGAACGTAGAATCAATCAGCAATAAAATGTCGACATGAAGTTTGCATATACTGCGGCAGTTAGTGAAATGAATGAGGATCATGAAAGTCTGTTGTGAGTACGGATATTAAACTCATTGGCCAATATGAATAGAAAAAGACGTAATACACCCCTGAAGATGTGTCCTTATAATTGAAATTGTTTGAAAAACTAGAAGTTTGGCAAGTAATATACCGACTAGATTTTAATGGGTGATTGTGCAAAAGATTATCGAGGAACCTACTTATTGCACATGTTTTCCAAAATCTGGTTATTAATCATGAGGAGATACATTTTCTCATGGTGGATGAGAAAGAAAAATCTTTCGTTATTTGCTAAATCTAGTAACAAATGAAGAAATGGGAATTGCTTCTCTTGAATATAATGATCACTTGATACGTGATACTTGACATTTAATAATGACATCTATATGAAATCCCCGAAAGATTAAAAAAGGAAAATGATTCCCAATTCTCAAGAAATTAGTTCAAAAGACTTGCGCAAGTTATAGTGTCTTCATGTGTCTAGATATTTAGGTTCATATTTTTTGAATATAATAGATATGCTATGTTTGTTTTTATCTAGATATGTTATGTTTATTTGAAACATGATTTTCTATCTGTTTTTATAATCATATTTGAATGATAGGATGATAATCAATACTAGAGTGAGTATTCATAAGCCATATGTGCATTTATAATTTTGTTAGTACTGAACTCTTGTGGAGCTTCAAAAGGCTGAATATTATCGAAACTTATCACGAAGATCGAATAGCCTGAATATAAATAAAACTCCCATAGAGTTATATCATAGTTATGAACACTTCTAAGGAAGTTCAAAAGGTTGCTACTTGCATGAAGTAAGGATAATGAAAGATCTTGAGTAGAATTTCGGTCTAAATAGTTTGACCTTTGTAAATTCAACACCTATTGAGTGCATTTGATTAAAATCTTGATGTGCATAAAGATCCTTCCTCTTGACTTTCTATTAATGATGTAGACCGATTTGGTCCTAAAGTACCATATAATGTTTCAGTTTATCTAATCAATTAGTCAAGACTTGATGTTGTGTATTGATACCTTCAAGGTATGATAGTCATGCATCTCCATTATTATAGAACACTTAAAATTATACAGGTATATGAAAGACAACCGTCTACATGAGAAGTCAAAGTAATCTGTCTATTATTGACTTAAACAATCATGAAATTGGTCAATAGCTTGGCATGCAACAAAAAGGTTAAAAGTGGCATACTTAAGAGGGGGAGTAACCCACGTTGTACTCTTTTTCTCTTGATCGAGATTTTGTCCCAATCGGTTTTCCTGACAAGGTTTTTAACGAGGCAGCGTCATATTCAGAAATATACTCTTTTTCCTTCACTAGGTTTTTATCTCAAAGGGTGTTTTCTAGTAAGGTTTTAACGAGGCATTATTCCCCAAAGATGGACATTCAAATTGGGAGTGTTATGAAATATTTGATTTAATTTGATTGAATGTCCACAATTAATATGTATTATATAATATTTAACATTAATGACATGTGATTCATTTCCAATAGTTTGATCCCCTACTTGTATAAATAGAGAGCTCATTGATGCTTGAAAACACATCTGAATACAAGTTTTTTATCTCTCTCTATTCTCTTATGTCTCTCATGTTCTTATGCTTAGTTTCATATTAGTAATCTAGTATTAATTTTATAAGAGAACTAGAGATATTGACATAAATCGGTGACTTTTGTGTTCTACATCATAAATTCATGACCATTTTTTTAATCTTGCTATCTACAAGGTATTGAAAGGTTATGATGTAGAGTGGTAAATGTGGAGTATTAGTACCACAAGATCAGAGATTCACGCAGGTTAGGGAAATTAATTCATTTTTTCTTTAAAAAATCAGGGCAGAAATATTAATTTTTATCTGCTGAAAATGTTGCTGAACTTTAAATGAATCATTTTCAAGGAAAAAAAATAAAAATAAAATCCCTCTAGGTTGTGTGGAAATAATTGAATTTTAATGTACTCATTTTTGCTCACCGTCATCATTTTACTTCACTTTCAGTGATGTATGATCATCGATAACTCAGCTGGAGGCATAATAGGTACAAGAAAACAATAAATACTAAGGGCTAAATGGTTAGCCCAAATCGGAAACAAGTGTATGAAGCAAGTTTTTGGAAATATTGCTCTAACTCTAAGTAAATATGTGGGACGTAAGGAAATTTTACGGGATATTCTGACAGTCACATACTCCCTCCGGTCCTTAATACAAGGCATTTAAGATTCGTCCTAAATTTCATATAGTATGCATTTTTAATTGATAAAAAAATTTTAAAAATAAATTTTTTTTTTAATTAAAAAATGTATATTAGGTGAAACCTAAAACAAATCAAAATACCTTTTTAGCTTACATTAAGGACCGGAGGGAGTATATTAGACTCGCTATAGTAGAGCAGAAGTTAGCTAGTCACATATATTTCGACCAAATGAATGACGTTTTTTACTCACTCTGTTCAATGAGAGTAAATATTTTGGCAGTGTTGTTATATAGAACGGGAGATTTAGTTGAAGTAAATAAAATTTGTTCATGGCGTTCATAGAAGGAGCATCTAATGAACTCCATCACCAAATCAAGAGAATCTTTATTAATTGTTGGAGCTGGAAATTAAATAGGAGCCGCGTTATGATTTTTTTTTTTTGTCCCCACAAACACCTTATTGAATTCATCCGCAACGTAATATTCTTATTTAGTTCAATGGTTCTGGATCCAATTTTCTGTTTTCCAAAATAAGGGTTTCCCCAACTAATAGTCTTTCTAGCTCTTTAGATCAAAACAATCCATGTTTGTTTGAATTCAAGAGTTAGGAATCTTTTGATCAATTCATGACCACAAATCTTCTTCTGTCTACTGTGAAGAGGTAAAATTATTTGATTTTATTCTTGTATTTTAGAAATGTTTATTTAATAAAGGGTATCCGATTGAAACTTCTCGATATTACATTTTTTTTTCTTTTTTTTTTTAATTTTTAATTTTTTGGTTTTAGCATTATTTGTTCAAAATCATGATTCCAATTAATTTAGATTCAACCGAGATAGTTCCTCTCATGTGCCAAATTTACCTAACAAGTATTTTTATTACTCTATCTTACATTTCTTTGTATTTTACAAATATTTAATCATCACCAAATATGCACACTGTTTACATAGGTTATTATCACCAAATAAGTAACTGTTTCAAGAATGAAAAAAGAAGGATGAAAAAAACCACCATAATTATATACTATATATGTCCCTATGGGTACACAACTCCGTTAAACACTATGAAACAAGCCTAAGATAGATCCTCAATATGCATAAGAAAATCTTAAATAAACTCTTGCTTTATTTCTTTTATCAAAATGTGCAAATATATGCTGTGCACCCTTAAAAAAAATTGTATATCCTTTATGAAATCTGCGTTACCGGAATACTGGAATGGTATAGTCTGCGCTTTGCATCAATAATCTGGGCAAGAAATAAAATCAAGCAGCAAGTTATAAATGATAGAGCCACTTTTGAATAAAATGAAAAAAAAAAGAATATTAAAAGTGGTGAAGATCAAATCATATAAATTGATTTGAAATTAAATGAAATTACTTACTTGTTGCTTCCAGTTTGTACGAAATGCTATAGTAAGAAGCAAAATTGCCTGCAGTCCACTCCCACTTATGATTCCCATCCAAAGGCCCTGTTAGTAGAAAATTTACTTACAGAGTGAAGAGTAAAAATATGATAATAGATAGATAGTTGTTTGGTCTCATAAAAATAGATTGAGTTTCGACCCTAAAAGATAACTTATTTTTAAAGCACTTCTTTTTCTCTAATAACAAAATTTATACTCCTTTGTCCCCCAAAAAATGTCGATATTGAGTTTTTAAATTTTCACCACTGTACAAATTTAAAAACTTAATATGGACTATTTTTTGAGGATAGAGGTATTATATCACTATTATCGCCTCATCTCATAAGTAATAATATCTTAATATTAATTTTGATAGTGTTACTTTTATTTATCGATTTTGCACCCGAATTTATCACCTTGAACTTTTTTAGGGTAATTTACTTGCTGCTGTGATTTGCACACTATTACAGTACGTGAGTTTAACTATCTCCGATGGGGTTTGCAGCGGAAAAAGAACGTCTCATGAAATTAAGATGTATGTTCTCAAAATGAAACTTAATCTTACATTTTGGAATAAATCACTAAAGGAGTACGTAAATCAGCAGTAATAAAACAATCAATGAAATTGCTAACCTTTCCACCATAGTGATAGACAAATGTCAAGACAATTGCTGTAGGAAGACCAACAAGATAATAAGATCCCAGGTTTACCAGAGCTCCAATCTTCTGCCATCCACATCCCCTTGCAACACCTATATATGTAGTTGTCATAACGATTTTCGCAAGTAAATTTTATTAATCTACTCCCTGCTATATTTGTCGCAAAATGCACTGTTCTGCTTGTGGTACTAACTAGACAATTATTTCGAGGGAAAGGGAGTAAAGGACAAAGAGCACAAATGTTCCCAATAATTGAGAAGAACTCGATTTAGTTTGTGAAAGTGTCTAGGAGGTGATCTAACCTGACATTGCTGCCTGAATTCCATCCATGAAATTTGATAAAGTGAGAACAGGCATTACGGCAGACATGTATCTGACTACTTCTTGTTCATTTGAGTATAAATATCCCCATGAACCCCTGACTGCCATTGAAACCAAAGCAATCAAAAGCCCTTCAACAACAACAAGAAACAGCACGACTTGGGCCGTGATTTTCGCAGCCTTCGGGTTTCCGGCACCTAATTCATTCGACACCCTTGTGCTGTATCAAGTAAAGAGGCATAGTAACAGAGGAAAAACAAATCAAATTTGTTTCTAAGATGGAATCAATTAGGACATTAAGTCCTCCTGCATTGTAAATAACTTGTTCTTACCTTACTGCACTACCAAAACCATAAGGAATTCTGAAGACCACTGAACTTGTATTGAGGCTGCCAAATAAAAATGTTGGGATCACAATCAATGAAGTAAAAGTTGAAATAGTGAAACAATTGGAATATTTAAAGCTCAATTGAAGAGGTTATAACATTCAAATGTAAAAATAAAAAAATAAATAAAACTATCCTCGATCCCTTGTTTGAAAACAATAGTCCACTTTATTCGTAAGAACAGTTTAACAAAGGTCAATATTTTTTTAGAATGAAAGTAGTATATATTCTGTTTCATGGAGTCTGAAAAAAAAAAAAAAGAAGAAAAGAATAACAATACCTTATGGACATCATTGATGTCTCAAGCTTGGGATTAGGAAGAAAGCCTGACATGAGAACCAATATCTCGTATGCCCACATTTCCAAGCTGAATCTTGCATAATTTGCATGGAAAAGGGAACCAATTAAAATCAAGTGATTGTGTTTTTGTAGTAAAATAATTAGTTCTAAAGTAAATTGAAAAGAATACCAACAAAACCAACAAAAAAAGTTTGTAAGGAACACATCCATTCTGGAAGCCATACACTAGAGGGAAAAGAAGTTATTACATTGTATAAATTCACTCGACACATTACATGATTTAGAAAAAGTTGATAAAAATATTGATCAGTAGCTGATCATATGTCTTGCTAAAATTTAAGGTATAAGATGCAAAAAAGAAAAAAAAGAAAATTCCTGAAACTTACCAAGTCATAAGGGCTGAAGGAATGGCCAATGATACAAATGCAGGAATATCTTTAAACCCTTCCTTAGAAATTCCAGTCCAAGTCTTTTGGCACAATGGTGAGAATTTTATATAAGCCCCCAAAATCACAACATTGATCCAATACGAGATAGCATTGGAGAGCGCGGCACCTTTGTTCCCAAATTCAAGCCGGAAAACCAACAACCAACAAGAAACGACATGAATTATGCTTGTGAAACCGGTGCTCACAATCAACGGCGTCACGAGCTTTTGTGTCTGTAAGAACCGGAATTGACATTGGAGGGCCGCGTAAGGAAAGAGGCTAGGGATTAGCCAACGAGCATATGTCCCGGCGTGCAAGGAAATGTGTTGATCTTGGCCGAAAAGAAGGAAAATATCTGTTGTGTTCATCCAAATAATTGCAATGGGGATGCTAGTGAGGAAGAGAACAAGTACAGCTCTTTGCAAATGTATGCCAAGAATGTAGTATTGTTTTGCTCCATATGCTTGCCCGCATAATGTTTCTAGTGCCCCTCCCATTCCTAGCTGAATTATATTGCCATGAAATCATAATGAACCGTTTAATCATCAAAACAATGTAGTAGATAGTTTAGATTGGTGCTAATTCATAATGTATGGAAAATATTATTCCCAGAGTTAATCAAAGAACGAAGAAGGATCAATATTTATATTAATCAATAGATCGATCGTGTCACTATTTCAAACGTTTGAAACGATGTCCAAAGCTAAGAAAAAAAAAAAGAAAAAAAAGGAGCGGTTTGATGGTATGTGTTTGTGTGTGTGTGTGTATGTGTTTTTCTTTTCATTATTATTAATATACCTTGCATGATTTTGGTTTTCTTTTCTCTTCAATTAATACCCTTACGTATGCGGGACCATACCATATATTTTTCCTCAATCAAGAACAAAACGGTTACAACTATTTCGTATGTTAAAAGAAACTGTCCCGAGATAAAAATTCTACACATGGCTGGGGTTGTACTAGTAGGAGAAACAAAGAGTTCATCTAAACTTTTACCATCCCAAGATAAAAATTCAAGATATTGTGCCTAACTCTTATTTTGAGATGAAAGAGTAAGTAAATCCAGAGGACATAATAGCTGGTATATTATTACTTCACTCTATCTATCTGGCAGTTTCTTTATTTTCTTTTCTTTCACAAAAGTTTGTCAACTTTTAGACCCTTAATTAAGACGGCAGGCATTCTGTTTTCTGTAACTAACTAAGCTGTTATTAATATGCAAACTACATTTTAGTTAAAAAGAAAGCTACTTTAAATCCACTTCTGCATCCGTACTTTTCTATCTACTTTTAGATTAAACGACAAAGGTCGAAAGAAATCCCATTTTTGTTAAATAATGAATGTGTTGGTGCAAAATATCATTAATTTCAGTTCAATATTCTTCATCTTTGAAAGCAACAAAGAAAACGAGACATCTAAGACACACTTCCTTCATCCCAAAATATAACTAAAACAGCTCAACAAACAAAATGTCACACAAAAGAATGATATGATCATAATTCTAGATTAACTATAATTTCTGAAATATAACCTACCATGAGGTTAAATCCTGTAACTCCAGCAAAAGAAGTGGCCATGGAAGCACTGGAAAGTGAGAGCTCACCAAGATGCCCAACAAACATCAATGATATCATCTGCATACTGTACTGAAGAAAGCTCACCACAACAAGTGGCACTGCCAATCCTCCTAGTCTCTTCACCTCTTCTTTGGCTTCCCAAAAATCGAAATCGAAACGCCTCGGAATATTCTTGGAAATTATTTCCTCATTGTTGTTGCTGATCAAAAGGGGTTGAGCAAGATGATCTTGGAGCTCTTTCCGGTCATCCATTTTGGTTTTTCTTCTTGATGATTCTCTGAAATGGAAAAAAAAAAAAAAGAGATCTAACAGGAACAGTTTTAGTTAGTTGGACTAGTTTGTTTGAATACTTAATTAATGAGAATTGTTACTATATATACTAGTGATGTCTGGTCGCGCAATGCGCGACCCTGGCCCAGTCTATGTTTAATTTTGGAGATTTTTAATAGTTTTGTAATAAGCTTCATCCGAAAGGTATACGCTTAAAACAAAATTGACACTTTGTAATAAAAACCTAATTGATCAATTCAATTGAATGAAACATAAAGAAAAAATTAAAAAAAAAAATGTGCCACGTAAAGTGCAAAGGGGATTTAGTAATTTAGTTATGGTTAGAGAGAAGAATAATTTAATACTTTCCTCATGCCACGTAGCAATCATAGGAGATGTTTGAAAGGGGATTTTTATTTCTAATATAGTAAGATATAAACATACACGCTAATTTATGCTAGCTGGAGTGGGCAACGTCTGAAATGATGGTATTTTTCTAACATGCATTTCATGTGATCGTGATCTTCCTTGATTTATCAGCCATCGCAAAATATATAAAGAAATAATTAAAAAAATAACTAAGAATAAAATATAGTGTTAAGTCAAACCCTTTCATTTCTTTTTCCTTGATTTTTTAGCGTTTACATTTACTTCTCTTTCTTTATGTTAAAAATTCTTGGAGTTGAATAATGGGCAGAAGGAACACGATGGATGCCGTTTTCTTTCTAGTTTTTTCTTTTTCTTTATTTTTTTCCTTTAAGTGAAGGTATTACATTAATTTACTCGAAGAAGATTCAATATGCGTTGAGGTATTAATAATGTAAACACTATCCAAACTTTTTCAGAGTCACTATAATTTTACCAACTCGGGGCAACACTTATGCTAAATAAATAGATAAAGAATATGGGATCTACCCAACAACTGAAATATAAAAATAAATCTTTGTGAGAAATCTCTAAATGCATCACAGTCAAAGTAAATTTTTGTAAGCGAAAACGAAATCAAAACGAGAAAAAAAAATTACAATTTTCATATTTACCTTTTTTCATAAAAGAACTCTAATGTTTTAAGTATATTTCTTTTTCTCTGTTTCATTGCTCGCGAAATTTGGAAATTATTTCCGGAAAGTTTGAACTTTAAAACGTTTGTCTCCCGACTGTATGATTTCATTTGTGGCCTCAAATTCTTCTAGAGTTGTCATTCCACCAGAACGTCCCAAGATGAAATTAAATTATTGCATTGATTATTTAATTCACTCTTTAAGTTTCCAACTACCATTTCTGATTTGAAATAATCAAGCTATATAGTACATCCAACAGCGGAATTTGTAAGTCTTGGATGCAAAAAACGTCGCATAAAGTTTTCTGCATTTGTTAAAATCATTTGAATTTGTTTACTTTAGGTTAATAATTTATTATTATTCTAAATGGTTAGTGATTTAATTTGGATAAGTGAAGTGGTTTTAGAACGTGGGTTAGCTGTTAGATTACAGGAAAAGTTTCTCCGTAGTTTTAAGGAATTAATGTATTTATGTATTTGCAGCTCTTTATTTTCGATTGAGAAGAATATTCTAATGGAAATTTGACATCCCGAAAATTCGGCCTCCCGGAGTTTGATCCGACTAGAATCGTTACACAGAACCCATTTTGAAAAGGATTTTTTCTTTCCTCCAGGAAAAACTACAAAATCATATTTATGACCCTTAAACTTTTTTCTTTCTTCAACATGTTATATATAGTCTTTTGTATTATCGATTGGAAGAATTTGCTTAGCGCTCCTATTCATGGTCATAAATTTGCATTTTGGGTATTTGGAACGTATCATCGATTGCATTATTATACGTAACTAAATTATGTAATGGTTATCTTCTACTCCCCCCAAGTAATTTTTTTATGACTGAAAAATTTATAATTAAAAACAGGGTCACCAGCAATATATGTTACAATTTTGTTATGCATTTCTCAAAAAGGATTATTGGATTAGTTTCAGTGAGGAAAAACTAGAACTATCTTGGTTGGTTATTTCTTTTTGAAAAAAAAGAATAACTAAAATACCGAAATTGGTGATCAACGTAGTCATCATACTATATTATAAATGAGGACTATGGATTTTAGTTTGGTAGTCCTCAAACTCAGTTGTTGCGTTTGTTCTTCTTTTATACATGACATTAAATCAATTAATTATCATAATTTAATAAATTTTATATTTATCTAAAATTAATATTTATCATTGTTAATCATCATAAAATTTTTAAACCGCTTATATTCATGAAAAGAAAGACAAAAGTCTGAAACGGAAGAAAGTATACAAGGAGTCACAAAGACTTTGTAGAATATGCAAAAATATGAAACTTCAAATCATCGAACTTTTTTAGTTGCAATCGAATTGTGTTACTCTTACAATAGTATTAAACAGTGCAATAGAATAGGCTCAACTTCCGGTAGAATTCGGATGGTAGGTTTTGTTTGAGCTAGTCTCGTGCTGCTCTTTCATTCCCTTCTTCCATCGTGAATCTACAGCAAACCACCGTTACTAACACTCAACATCCAAGTAAATGCCCTACCTTGAAAAAGTTTACTTTATGCCTTTTACATGATTCATAGAAATATATATATAATGAAATTTCATACTCACAATATATAATCATGACAACTTCATTCACGTCCGTGCAAAGCACGTTCAAACCCCCTAATTATTCTCTTAACTAGTAAATAAATTTGTCGTGTTAATATCCTATTAGACTGTTGCATTTAGTGCTTTTATATTCATTTACAAAGTTACTAGCAAAACAGTTATAAAAGAAGAAAAGCTAATAAACCGATATGAATTTCCTAACTTTTACAAACAATAAATCTGCAGTCTACTTTTTTTTTTCTTTAAATCCAGGGCAGTACCTGGTGGGAGGATCCCAATTTTATTACTATAAAGAAAGAAGTACAATGGGCAGTACTTAAGATTTACCCAATCAAAATGGAATCCGTCTTACAAAAATTTTTCAGAAAACTTCATGACAGGTCTAATACAAATTAACACTGAGAAACTGTTTTTATAAAGATCATCTGGAATCTCATGACAGTTCCATTTTTGAAAACTGAAAAAACATTAAACATGTAGTCTAAGAGTTTGTCTCACATAAATTTGTCTAAAAATCTCATGACAACTCTAATTCCTACACTACCTGCCTATCTTAATGTGCTTTGACAAAAATTATTTTTTCCTTATATAAGGGAAGCTTCTTTCTTTGTCATATCACATACCCAAATCGATCGTAGGATTTCTGAGTGTCATCAAATTAATAATGACATAAGAGATCGCTACTCTCAAAACCTTTGACCCTTTGTAAAGATGTATGACCCACGAAATTAATAAGCAAAATGCATAATACCAAATTGAAAATTTAGCCCAAAATTGTGTTTGTTCTTAGGTCACTAGATCACAATTTCCTTTTTTGCATGAAAACTACCATAGCTGAGTCGTCATTTCTCTAGAATTTTTAAGTTCAAGAACCATGAGTTTTGCTTTATGACTCCCATGTAGACTATATTTTGGAACAGAAAAAATATTACTTTATTTTAAAATATATATATTTGTAGGGTGTCCATCATTGTCAACAGTAACTAATCACATTCCCTAAGTTATAGACACCTCATTACATAAGACATTTTGGAAAAAACATGTAAGGTTGCCCACGCTAATGACAAGGGTCGATCCTGAGTTCTGCTTTGAGAGTAGTTTTGATGTGTACATCCTAGGTGATCAAGCTCAAGGACAAGTCAATGTTTAAGTGTACAATCAAGTTAGAGCTTGAAGAGTGATTCAAGATCTACTAGTAAATATTGGAGGTCCTATGACGAAGTCTCAAAGGTAGAAAATGAATGAATCGCTTCGTAACTTTTGAGTGGTAGGACTGTGCAGTGTAATAGAGGTAGGACTGATTCCAGTGAAAGTTGCACATCCGGAGTTACAAGAGTGTGAGATTTCTTTTGAGTGGTGGGATTGTGCAGTGTATCAGAGGTTTGATTATCATATATCGAGGATTTATATGCTACTGATTCTGATTTTTCGTCCATATTTAAAGAATGTGAAATTGGTGCATTAAAAAAGTTCCATAGGCATGATGGTTTCTTGTTTAAGCATAATAAATTATGTATGCCTGTTTGTTCTTTGCATGAGCTATTAGTGCTTGAATCTCATAGTGTTGGTCTTATGGGTCATTTTGGTAGTTTAAAGACATATGATGTTTTATGTGAACTAATTGGTCTAATATGAAACGTTACGTGGAAAAGGTTTATTCTACTTGTATTGAGTGTACAAGGTAAGTCTAGGTCACAACATCATGGATTGTATACGCCCTTACCTGTACCTAGATCAACACCGATTCCAATGAACTTTTTGTTGGGATTGCCTAGATCTCAAAATCGGTGTGATTCAGTTATTGGGGTAGTAGATAGGTTTTCTAAGATAACACATTTTATTCCTTCTCGTAAAACTGATGATACTAAGCGTATAGCTGATTTATTTATGCGTGAGGTTGTTAGATTGCATGGTTTACCTAAAACTATCGTGTATCTAATAGGATGTTAAATTCTTGAGCTAGTTTTGAAAAACCTTGTGGGGAAAATTAGGTACAAAGTTTTTCTTTCCAAGGAGAGCTCATCCTGAAACGGATGACCAAACAGAGATTGTTAATAGGACTCTTGGTACTTTGCTTCGTGTTTTGATCCAAAAGGGGAAGCATGTTTTCCTTTTGCTGAATTTGCATATAATCGTGGAGTGCATTCGACTACTCAAATGTTACCATTTGAGGTTGATTATGGTTTTAACTGCTTAACCCCTCTGGACTTGTCTCCATTGCCTGTTTCTGAGCACCTTGATGCAAATGAAGCCAAGAAAGTTTGTGAAATCTCTACATGAGAAAGTGCACATGAATATCCTATAGAAAAATGAGAGTGTTACCCAGAATGCCAATAAAGGTCGCAAAGAAGTGATCTTCGAACCTAGAGATTGGGTTTTGG